TTTCATGGAACGAGCAATGGCAAAGCTGAATCACGATTGGAATGGATGTCAAATACTTAGAACGAGTTATGAGTAGTTCCCCCAACAGAACATGATGAATAGTTATAGATACATCAGCACAAGTCCCAACAATAACACAGTTAAATTTAACATGGTCTCTGCTCCGATGTTCTGATATTTGTGGTTCCCATCCATGCTCTGATCCACTGAAAGCCATTTAATGTTACCGCTTGTAGCAATGAATTTCATAACTTGGCTGCTCATTGCATGAAGTGCTTCCTTTGATCTGAAAGGCACTTTCATTGGGCGATTCCCAAGTTCTAGCTCCACATTCTCTCTCCCCATCACACTAATTTTGTAAAACGTTCTCCTAGCCCCTTCTTATTCATCTTTTTTTTATGTACGAGGATGCTCTGACGTTTATGCAGCCTTTCCTTGCGGAAAGATTTCCAGCCTCTTCACCATTTTGGTAGACCTTTGTGGCAACCATTCCAGGTCTACTTGACCTGGTTGTTATTTTTGAGCTGGGAGGCTCCAAAACTGTACGGAAGGATGTAAAGGGAGACTTTGTCAACTGCTTTGCTGAAATCAAGATATACTACAGCATTTGCATAATCCACTAATGGCATTTGTATCTGCATTCAAGCTTCAAGAAGCCAGAAGGACTGATGTCTTGGCTGATGTGTGACATGGTCAGTAATGGCATTTTGCAATGCAACAAATTGTACTTGTCTGCAGCTTGCCCATATTTTTTCTTAGTCTTTGAGGCCCACATCCAGATGGAAATATGGAGTGCTTAGGACCAGCCATTGTGCCCCATTGGTCCTCTCTCGTCTGATGAAGCACCTTTCCTGAATTCTGTCGCTGGAAGAATCCTCCTTTGACTTGGCCCATATCTGGTGTGTGTTCCCTCTCTTAAATCTTCCACCTCAGACTTGCCTCACAAAAGACCTTGCACAGTCTCCAGAAAGGATTGTGCTCCGGGGATACTGGTGAGGAGGGAGCAGGGAAGGTTAACTGTGTAATCTAATCTTCTGAGGTCACACTGCATAATGAAATCAAGAGGCATGCTCACAAAATGTAGATTTTCTCCACAACACAGAATTCATCTGAAACCCCTGAACTGCAAGTAACATTCCTCCTTCAGCATGAAACTGAATATGTGCTGCAAATGCTTTGCCAGCCGTTCCTGCCATCGGCTCCAGTGTGAAAGGAAAACCGTAATCGTGTTTGAAACACTGCTCAGAACCTCACCAAATCCGGGAAGGCACCCTTCCTCAGCGGAAAATTCAAAAGAAAGACGTGCCTGTTTAAAAATTGGAATGAAAAGAGCGAGTGCATCTATTTTCAGCACTGCTTAAACTGCTCTACCTGCAACCGTGGAGATTGGATCACCATCAATTGTCCCAATAGCAGAAGACATCCAGTGCCTGCTCTCAAGCTATGCACTCAACCAAAGGAATTTCTATATGATTTCACAGCTTACGACTGTATAACTTGCCTTTGGCAACTTGCCTTTAGAAGCAGTGCCCCCTTAACCTGCTCCTTCAAGGGGAGGGCGACCCTACCTAGGAGAGGTTGCGCTACCCGCTAAGAGCATCTCACTCTTGTCTGGAACGGGCTTCAGTTGCTAGCCCTCAACCAGCCAGGCACAGATTCAGCACATCCACAGCAGATGGATGACAACACTCTACAAAACTCTGGATGACCCACTCAGTAGTTTCATGCAGATGCTAAATAACATGGGGGCAACCCCGTAATGGACAATCCGAGGGGCAGAGCAATATCCCCCAAGCACCACCTTCTGGGGTCTACCATCCAACTAGCAGAAGAACCTCTGCAATGTGGTGCCCCTCACACCCCACTCAGACAGCCACCCCGGAAGGTATGGTTTCGAAAGCTGCTGAGGGGTAGCAGAACGAACAGGGTCACTCTCCCCCAGCCTCCAGCGTCATACAGGGTGACCAAAACTGTTTCTATGCCAAAACCAGGGCTGAACCCTGACCAACATGGATCCAGATAATCTGTCTCATCCAAGAATACCTGGAGCTGGTTGGCCACCTCCAGCTCAAGAACCTTGCCCAGGAAGGGGATGTTTTCCACCAGCCTAAGATTGTTCAGTTCTTCTGGGCCAGGGAGGGTTTCTTTGGGAGTGGTCTCACCACCACTTGTTCTTCTCCTAGGGAAGCATTAATCGGGCAACAGTTTCCCCCCTACTGGATTTCATTAGCCAAGAGGGGCAAAGATCCAGTACAGACATGGCTGCATGATGCTGTCCAGGCACCCTGTCAACACCCTTGAGCTGTGCTAACTGGAGCTCATCCAACATAACTCGATCAGACCACACTGTGGATATCTCCCCTGAGCCCAGTGCTATCCCATTGGAGTCCAAGTTCCGCCAAATACAAGATACCTTGTCCTGGGAGTGCCTAGCAAGCATATTACAGCAGGCCTCCGATGGCTCCAAGATGTCCCTGGAGCTGGGGTGTAATAGGCACTCAACGACCCCAGAGAGCTCCACTGGGCAGCACATAGAAGATGGAATGGAGGCAGCCAGATATTGCTTCTTTGCTGCTCCCACTGCCTCCAAATATATTTGACCGTAGGCACAGACCATCTGCACTCAAGCTGCCTCTGGATGTGTTTCATGGCGCCCAGCTCCAGGCTGCACCACAGAGCCACACGGCTTAGAGCCTGTGCTAAGAGAGGGTGCTCAGCAGTGAGCCCGTCAGCCCCTTGGGTCACCTCTGTATTCCAGGGACGGAGGAGGGTTTCAGTCCTCTTGCGGTTGGCATGCATCCCATCAGCCACTGTGCTCCAACGCCAATCCCCAGGTGTGTCACTCCCTGCCTTTGTCACCTGTCTCTTTCTCATTGGTCCACACATAAACTTAGGTGGCCGAAGAGGCTCCTGCAGCTGCCACTCTTTTCAGGACATTCTGGGGTAATTCCAGGACTGTGGAAACCATGATCCTGGGATCAGATCAGACAAGCCATAGTGATATTGGGAGACCTTAGAACAAGCCATTGTTTCTTGCTCTGGTTTCTAAAGACCAAACTTACCATGGTGAAATACCATGACTGGGTATGGACAACACACCAAATCAAGAATGGAAGAAAATCACCACGGCTTGCTCTGCTCAGGGAGCCCAGCCACTGTCTTGTAATCAGACAACACCCTCTCGTCTCAAACTCACTCTGATTCTTGTCCCAAGAGACACAGAATTAGTCTTGAAATGGATAGTGGTTCAGTTGATGGGTTTTTAAAGAAATGTTTATATGTGGAGTACATTCAAGCTACGGGGCACTATATTTTCAGTTTCATTTCATTTTCAAAGCAATCTGTTCTGCAAAAGGAGGAGAGAGGAGAGGAGAGGAGAGGAGAGGAGAGGAGAGGAGAGGAGAGGAGAGGAGAGGACTACCTTTGAATTCTGCGTGAAGTCTTCAGTTTATTGTGTGTGTGTGTGAGCGCATTACCACCTAGGAAGGCCTCAGTAGTTATAGGTGGCCTATAAATACATGTTCAAATAAATACCTAAATAAATACATTTATAAATAAATTACATATATATAATAAATACAAACATAAAACATGCCACCTGGACTATCATTATACAATATGCAACCAGATAAACATGTATATGACACATACTATAGCATGGTAGAGGCCTATGCAAAGAAGAAAAATTTGACTCATTCATTCAGAAGCTATGTAGCTAAAGAGCTATAATCACTGTGGAATTAGTAAAGGAATGAATGAATTTATAATTTGTTTAATCATTTCAACTTTATTTTTTAAGCCTGCTCTGCAGCCTGAAGGGTCCTGAGCACTATGGATGCGTGAACCTGCAAAACCCAAGCTTGCCAACTTACTCAAATGCGACTCCAAAGCTACTCCTAAATCACATGTGTATCATCCTGGAAACTGCCGCTGCTGCTTTTTAGCCCCAAAATTTGTGGCTATTTCTGGGCTCATTTTGTCCAAATGTGGGCATCAATGGTCCCCTTTTTTGAAATGCACACATTTTTCTCCCACCGATTACATTCTGTTTGCATGCATTTTGCAAACCTCCCTTTTATATTCATTTTCAAAGGCATGCATGCTCTGCATACAAGTTTTCTGCTCTGTGAAACACTTTTCAGCCTGGGAGGCTCATGACGTGCCGCAGCAGGTTGCCCTGAGGGACACACACGGCTCTGGGCAATGCATGCAAGCTGGCTGCATCCTAGAAAAAACCAAACCGAAAGAATTTCTCACACATTTCTAGCCAGTGCAGCTTACAAATATCAGAAGCAAGGCAGTCTCTGCCCACGAACTTGCAAAATAAAAGGCATAATTCAAAGGCATAGGCATAACCCTAACCCTCCTCAAGAGGGAGGAGAAAACCGAGAGCAAAATCCAGCGCTAGATGCTTAGGCATGAGACTTGGCAGGAAGTGCTGCTGGAGCTTCTCCCTCCGACAGCATTAGAAGTGGCAGAGGAAGGACAACTCTGGGAGCTGCACACAGGCATGATGGAGGGGCAGCTGACAGTTGCATCAGTTCCCTCTGAAGAGGGAGATGGCATCCAACACATTATTTGATCTATAATTAAACCCATCAGTTAAAAAGTCTTGTCGCATAATACAAAACCTGGTTCCAAAGTACCTCTTCACAACAGATGACTGAGATGATGCATTTAAGGGGGGAAATGTGCCTCACACAATCAGTATGTGAAGCAGCTTTTCTGACGAGAAGCCCCATGAAACAATTGCCTGCAATAAATAATTTTGAGAGGCAGATTTACACAAAGCACTGCACACGGTACGATGCTCAAGTCTGTCGGGGGCCTTGCGTAAGAGGAGGCGAGGCCGCCTGAAATAATTCTGCATCGAATTATCACTGCACCCTGGTTTGAACATTGACCCGTGCTTGCATTCAGCCTAAGCAGTAATAACGATGCTATCATTACCCCGAACACCAAGGCAATCAGACCCTTATTTGTCAGAGGTGCATACCCACCTTGCTTGCGCACATCCTCCACAGCAGCCACCAGCTCGTCTTTCAGGTCATGGCTCTCCTTCGCAATCTGCTCTCCTTTCTCCAAGAAGTTTTGCGTCGCTTGTTCAACGGAAGCCGCCAGTACATGAGCCTTCTTTGATCGGCCTTTCTTTTTACTCGAGGGCCCTTTGTTGCTTGTATTCACAAGGGTCGTCACCTTTTAAGGACAAACGAGAAAGTGTTTTTATACGCACAGCTTTCACTTGCTTCATATTCAGTCATTCTGAACAGACACAAGGGACACAGACGTAAGGGGCTTCCTGGGGAAAAAAAGATCAAGTGGAATCCAATTCAGTTCTTAGATCCAAGGCACAATCCAGTCCAGTGCCCAATGGGAATGTAGCCCTTTTCAAGCACCTGGAATAATAGAAATGCTCCTTTCTGGAAACAAGCAGGTTGGCAGAGCTGCCAACCAGACTCCTGCCCGAAAGGAGCAATTCCATGTGTTGAAGGGCATCCCCCCAGCAAGTGATAAATCTCCGCTCTTGCAATGTAATTGGCAAGAAGAAAATCGATGAGATGCAAAAGAATTATCAGCTGTATAACCACCATCTTGTATTCTACCCACCTCTAAATAATGCATCTCTGATGAGTGACCATCTCAAGAAAGGCATTGGCAGAGTATCGTAATCCAGACTGTATGGCAATAGGAGTTGATTTAGGAATTTGCATCCCAACAACCCAAATTTGCATTCTTCAAAGTTCTATCCATTTCACTTTGAAGGACATTCCACCTTGTTTCTGTATCAGGTTGCAATCTGTTGGCTTTTTCAAATGAGAAGCCTTGAGAATATTTCCATGCATATTTCCCAAGGTATGCATGAACTGTTCATCACATCCTTGAAATCTAAACTTTCTTCTCCCATTGAATAAAGCAAGTTTGTGTACATTTTTTCAAAGAAAAAATTTTTCAAATACTTTTTGGAAATGTACAGACTTAGGGTGAAGTTTGCAGTCAAGGCTGAGTTCAGTTTGGGAAGATGCAAGCGAGGGAAGTCCAGATCACAAATGAGCTGAAGTGTATTTCTCACGTGTGCCCAGTCCCGGCTCATTTAGGGCTTTAAAACTGAGTATTAGCACTGTGAGCTGGACCCTGGAGAGCCCGGCATCCAACAAAATCCTTTTAGTATGGAAACTATATGCTTCAAAGTTGTGGTACTAGACAGATGTCTCACTGCCATATTATGCACACATGACGTAACCGCAGCACTTGGGGAATCCCCCCTTACCAACTATAAAGACACATACAGTCAGGCCATCCTTTGAAGATACTGCCAGGCAGAGTGTGAGGAACGCAAGCTCCAGGTGTCACAGCTTCCCTGACCTGTGTAACGTCACTGACAGCCACACTTGGCATTAGCCCTGTTCCTTAGGCACAACATGGGTACCTATTTCCCAGCTGTCAGGTGTGTTCTCGTAACAACTTCCAGGCTTCAAAATCTTCTATGGCAAGAGAAATGCTCCTTTGTTCAAAAGCATCGTCTGAAGACATGAGGGGCCCTGAATAAGGGCGGTGAGGTGGGGGGGGGGCTCCATTTATAACCATGACACGCTAGTGAAAGACCACTGGAGTATCGCTTTAACCTTCCTGGCGACCGTGACCAAGAGCCAAAAAAGCCATTAAACAAAATGCTCCGAAACACTTTGCCACTTAACAGCACTCTGCCTTCTGCGTCACCTGCAGGCATTCACCTCAACAGCATTATTACTACCTGACATCATATCTCATTTAACCCAAATGAAAATGAAACAAGACAGAGCCTGGCAAAAGGGCATCCCATGCCAGACTACTAAATTATATTTCACATTCCCCATTAACTGGAGTGGAAATCAAAGGGATCGTGCAGAACATGCAACACAACGACATCTGCGCACAGTGCGCCGAGCTGAAGTTGCTGGTTATTTTCTTGACCATTTGAAGTTTCTAAGGCACACGCTATGCTCAGAGCGCAGGGAAAATCCCCACCGCCTGAGGAGGGGTGAATGCAGTGCATGCAGCCCTTCAGTCATCCATTCCTCGTGTGATTCCAATAGCAAGATGGGGAGGGCAACTCTCTGCCCCCCCCCGCTCTCACATCCCCTCCCAGCCTTCAGCCCCCTCCTCCATCCATAAGGAAGAAGATCTGAAGTAAGGAACTCTATTCTCCATGTAATTGAGAACCTGCAAACTCCAGATTCTGAGGAACTTGCAGGTCCAGCCCCTCCGCTTGATTTTGATTTTGTGGAGATAAATGATTGAAAGGGGCTCTGTCGTTAGCATAGCCAGTTGTTGCACCTGGAATACTGAGCGAGCTCATAGCCCCTCACGCAAGCAAGGGCAGGTGAAAGGTGCTTTGGAAGTCTGAATGCTGTTTTGAAAGCTTGAAAGCTTTGGAAGCCCGTCCCAGACAAGATGGCATTCTGGTTGATTAGTAGATAACCAAACATAGGGAGTGATTAGATGCCATCAGGTCATCTCCACCTTGGGGAAACCCCACGAGTGAACGCAGCCGCCACCCCACAAATGCCTTGCCCTTGCAGGACTACCTATCTCTTCAGTTCTAAACTCAAGGCTGTGCCTTCTTTTATGGAACTGATCTATCACATAGTCATTCTGCTACTGCTTCATAGTCACATAGAAACAGAACAAGTCAGAAAGAGTCTCCCAGGCCATCTAGTCTGACCCCCGGCTCCAGCTGGCTCTGCTCATGACATGCGTTCCATGTACATGTCCAGCCTATCCTTGAACATGCTCACCGAAGGGGCTTCAACCACCCCCCGTGGAAGACCACCCCATACCCTTGGGGCCCTAACTGTCAGGAATTACATCTTCATCTTTGTGCTTGTCATCTCCTCCTGCTGTCTTTGACTTCTTTCCCTGCCATGATGCTCTTCTCTAGGGAGTCTTGCCTCCTCCTGATGTGTCCAAACTACAACAGCCTCAGATCCTCATTTTTGCATATAGTTCTGGCTTCTTTTGATCTAGGACCCAATTGTTCATCTTTTATTGACCCAACTATTTGCAAAGCAATCCTCCAACACCATTTTTTGAACATAACAATGTTCTTCCTGTCAGCTTTGTTCACGGTGCAGCTTCCACACTGACACCCAAAGATCAGAAAATCACACTCCCTCTGAAAGATCTGACATTGACTTGGGGGATGCTTTTGGATCCAGTACTGCTCGAGGGAGGGAGGGAGGGCTTTTGCCAGGCTTCCTTGGGCCCACCTGCGGTGCCTCTTTCAATTCCTAATTACTTCTGCTTCACAGGGCCTTGTTTAGGTTACCATAAAGCACTCTATGTAGGGTTGCCCTTGAAAAGTGTTTGGAAACGGGAGTCATTAGTGGAAATTGGCTACCCTGTTGTCAGGAGATTGCTTGGTAGGCCACATTATACCAGTCTTAGATGGCATCCCCATTCCCCATTCCCACTTCTGGGAATGCTGCAGATCAAATAAATTCAGCAAGTATTTTATTTATTAATTTATTTATTTCATTTTTAAGTAGGAAAAAGTGCATCCTCTAATGTGAACTGTTAGCCCAGTCATTGCATTGTCAGTGCAAAGGCATAATATAGCGTGTGAAAGAATTCTACAGGTCCTTGCTCCTACTCTGAAATCCAATTTTAAAACTTGTTCGCTCCATTACGAAACAGAATAAAATGTTAGCAACTCTCCTAGCTACTTGGCATGCAGCTAAAACGCTATTCCCACAGTGACAGGGAAAGGAAGCCAGGCACTAAACAGCATTAAAGGGATAATCTGGACAATAATAGGAACTGAATGCCATGGCTGTTTTGCTGTTCTATTCAACGGACAGTGTGTTGAGCACAAACTGGTAACATCAGAAGGGAAGCAGAAGGAAGGGCAGGCAGAGGCTGGCAGCGATCACCACTTGCCTAACATGCCAAACTGAGAGCAAAAGATGAACAAAAACAGTGGGAGATGCAAATAGTTTCCTGCTAAAACAATGAGGAAGATACCCTGCACAGATAGGCACATGCAAGCTGGAATCTGTTAATACAAACATAGAAGCAGAGTGAGCCAGAAGGGGTCTTCCGGGCCATCTAGTCTGACCCCCAGCTCCAGCCGGCTCCACTCACGACATGCCCACCATGTGGACATCCAGCCTATCCTTGAACACCCTCACCAGTGGGGCCTCAACCACCTCCTGTGGAAGCCCATTCCACACCCTCGGGGTCCTGACTGTCAGGAAGTGCTTCCTGGCATCCAAATGGAAGTTTGGCTCCCTGAGCTTGGCTCTGTTGGAATGTGTCCTGCCCTCCACCGCAGGGGAAAACAGGTCTCTACCCGCCTCCGTGAGACACCCCATTAATGATCCTGTTAATGAACTGGCAACTGAGAGTCTACACAAGTAGGTATGCATTGCTCAGAACAGGAGCTGTAGGCACACAGTACCACAATCAAGTCAGTGTGCTTAGCACGGTTTGTGGTTTTGCACCATGATCTGAGCGACAGGGTGCTTTCTATGTTATCCTGGTTCCATCCTCTCTGCTCAGTCCTCCCACTCTGGACATCTATCCCAGCAGTCACTGCGCATCGAATTCAATCCCTATTGCTACCTGCCTATGTTGCCTGCCTCTTCCTTATTCGCCCAGACAGAGAGGCTCAATGGCTGGAGTGGCTCTTGCAATTGCTGCTCTTTCCAGGGGCCTCTGTGGTAATTGCGTACCAGGACCATCTAAACCGTGATCTTGGATTCTCCAACACAAAAAGCCATGGTGGTGTGCAGAAATCATAGAACAAGCCATGTTTCTTCTTGTGGCTTCTAGAGACCAAACCTACCATGGTGAAATACTGTGAGTAAGTTCAGAAAACACAACAGAACAAGAATGGCAAAAAACCACCATGGCTTGTCATGTTCTGAGGCCAACCAGTGAATTCATAGTCCTTTCTTGATTTACAAAGACAGGGCAATTTGGTTCTTCGTCCGGTAATGAACTTCCACACCAAAACTCAAGGTGCCAGAGCAGGCTCCCTCACCCCAGTGCCCTCCAGTTATTTTGAGCTGCACCATTCAGCACTTCCGATGATCGGCCATGCTGGGTGCAGCAGATGGGAGGTCCAGAAGACTAGGCTAGGGAAGAAGGCATGAGATGAACATAATTAGAAATGGACTTCTAAGTGCTGTTTGGCGATCTGAGCATTCCGCGGATTC